TGATGATGATGACGACAAGGATGATGCTGAGGCTGCTGTTGTTGATGCTGATGATGATGATGGTGGTGATGGTGACGGTGGTGGAGATGGTGATGATGATGATGATGATGATGATGATGATGATGATGATGATGATGATGATGATGATGATGATGATGATGAGGATGAGGATGATTATGATTCTGATGATGATGATGGTGATGAGGAGGTTGGCGGAGTAGGAAAGGAGGAGGAAAAGGAGGAGACTGAGGATGAGGATGAGGATGAGGTCGTAGGATCGTAGGGGATGAGGATGGGATGAGGCTTTATGATGAAGCTGCTGAAATGAATGATTGATGATGCTGATGCTGATGTGTTATTGATTGATGCGGATGATGATGATGATGATGCATGATGATGATGATGATGATGATGAGGAGGAGGAGGAGGAGGAGGAGGAGGAGGAGGAGGGTGGTGGTGGTGGTGATGATGAGGAGGAGGAGGAGGAGGAGGAGGAGGGGGAGCACGAGAAGGAGGAGGAGAAGGAGGAGGAGCAGGGGGAGGAGGGAGGAGGATCCAGGATCGAGAATCGAGGCTCATGCGGCTACTCCGCTTCCTTTTGGCTTCTGCGAGGCTTCTCGTCATCTGTTTCGAACTTCTAGTCCAAACACACCTCCATCCATCCTCCCTCCTCTCTCCCTCCCTCCTCCCTCCTACCTCCTTCCTCCTCCTCCCTGTTCCCTCCTCCTCCCTTTTCCCTCCCTCCTGATCCCGCTGCTGGTCGAGAGGTAAAGGAGCTAGCCGAAGTTCAAGGATAGGTGAGGCCGAGGGAGGCAAGCACTCGTGTCTCCTCCCCCTCCTTCCCCTTATTCATTGGTGAGCTTGTTGGTCCAGGCTTGGAATTGGCACAGGGTGTCCTGTGGCTGCTTTGCGTCCTCAGCATTCCGATCCTTGGGCCTAAAGGAGATCCGTCAAAAGAAGAGCAAATAAGAGAGTGAACATATATGAGAGATATTCCACTACTCTGCCTACGACGATCATCGCAAGCACTGCCAGCACGACAATGCTCAGCACTTCGAGCGTCACGCTATGGTATAGGGCTTCGTGCGCATTCAAGCTCTCGAAGTCTAAAATCACACTCGCGCTGCGATTGTGATAATCTTGAAACTAAAGGGTGGGACAGTAGCAATCTGCTGCTGCTGCTCCCGCCCCTCCTCCTCTCCACCCTGCCCATCTCCTCTTCCTCCTCCTCCTCCTTCGCCTCCGCCTCCGCCTCCGCATCACTCTTCCGCCCCCCCCACTCCTCCCCTCTGCCGCCTCCCCCTTCGCCTCCCCCTCGTCCTCCTCCTCCTCCCCTCCTCCTCCTCCTCCTCATCCTCCCCCTCCTCCTCCCCCTCCCCCTCCCCCACCCCTCCGCCGCCTCCTCCGCCGCCTCCGCCTCTGCCTCCGCCGCTTTCCCCTCCACAAGCACACAGTGGGATACTACTCTCCTCCTCCCCCGACTCTGTCCGGTCCGCGTATTGTTTTTACAGAGGATCTCCTTATTGGAGAGGCCTGACGGCCGGTGCCGCCGACCCTGATCGACGACGACGACGAAGACGAGGGAGGAGGAGGAGGAGGAGGACGAGGAGGAGCAGGAGGACAAGCAGGATGAGCAGAATGATGAGCAGAAGGAGGAAAAGGAGGCGGTGGGGGAGGTGGGGCAGCAGCAGAAGGATCTCCTTATTTGTTTTTCTTATGTGTGTAAGACAAATCCTTTGTTTTAATTTCTTCCAAAATGGTGCTCCCGCTGCGGCGCCGCCCTCATTTCCGCGCCTCGGTCATTCAAAATCGTGCTCCCGCTGCAGCGCTGGCCTTGTTCCCGCGCCTCCGGACAGCACTTGGCATTCGAAAGCGCCCACGTCGGGCAGGCACGGTTGCGGAGGACATGGAGCTGGCATGCTGGGCAGGCCCTGTTCTCTCGTAGACGGACCACTTACCATCCAAGTTATCCGGTGCCATGCCACGGCATGCAGTGCGAATGCTGTGTCGTGCACCGCTGTGCGATGCCGTGCTTTGCGTTGCTATGCTATGTGATGCAATGCTTCACTACGCAATGCCACGCCATGCTATGGCGTGCTATGCTCTGCCGTGCCCTTCTACGCCGTGGCTTTCCCATCCATCGCGTACCCTCTTGGGATCGTTGCCCTGCTCGACAGCCGACCGCGAATCGATGGGAGAGCTGCGCCATGGGAAGGGATGGGCGGGAGGGCTGTGACGTCAGATGTGACCCCAGCGCACCTGGCTCGCCTCCCCTCCCCCTCCCCCTCCCCCTCCGCCTCCGCCTCCGCCCCGCAGCCCCGAGGCCCGCGTGCTTGCACGGCGACGGTGCAGCTGCAGAGGCTCGACGGCTCGCGGACCATCCTGACCGACGCGCTGCAGGACGCCGCGCCCGCCCGCCTGCCCCCGCACCTTTTCTGCCCAGAGGCGGGGGGAAGCGTGGGGAGGGGCACGGGGGGGCAGCGGGGGGCGGGGAGGGCAAGGGAGAGGGAGGGGGGAGGGGGAGGGGGAGGGAGGAGGAGGAGGAGGAGGAGGAGGAGGAGGAGGTGGATCGGAGGAGGGAGGGGAGGAGGAGGGGAGGGAGGGGGGGAGGGGGAGGGCGTGGGGGGATGGGGGGAGGGGGAGAGGGATGGGGGGAGGGGGAGGGGGAGGGAGGCGGGGGGGGCATCGTGGAAGAACAGGCTTGGCAGAGGGGAAATTCGTGACAGTATCGGTGCTTCAGCATGTGTGTGTGGTGGCACCTGGGTTCAAGTATACCACAGTGGGCTAGGCAAGGCATTGTAAGGCATAAGTCGTGCTTGCACGTTTATGCTGTCAGGAGTCAGGGGGGATGGGTGTCTTCCATACTCGGTGCCCTTTTTACCCTGCGTGCCGACTGCAAAAGGGCACCGATGCATTGCCTTCGAATTCTTGACAGTGCTGTGCCGTGCGGCGCACGAGGCATAGCAGGCAAAGCATGGCATCATATGTCAGTCAAAGTAGGATCTTAGTGAGCACGGGGAGAGCGGCAACACCAAGCCCGCGCCAGCACCGTTTTGGCTCAATATGAAACGGCCAGAGGAAAAGCATCTTTTGCCCGTCCCGGTGAGTCAGCTTCAGCGGCGACGCTGGCTGCTCCTCCGACTCTCTGTTGTTTGTAACACCTTTCTCAGGCTGAAACTCAGGATTCTGGTAGATAGCAGCCTCCACGATTCTCTACCCATACCTCCTGCCTCCGCTCATGGGCTCTTGCTTCTGATAGGTCAGGGACCCCCTAACGTTGTCCAGGAAACAGAAAATCAGGAACAATGCAGGGACAAAATGGGAATTCATCCATCCAAAAGGCTATGAACCCAACAGCTGCCGCGGTCCACGGCGGGCAGCTGGGGGCGCAAGTGCGCCAGAGTGCCGCCTGCTTCGACTACGTCGTGGGGCCCGCCGTGCAGTGCGACACCTGCGGCGGGATCGTGCACGCCCGCTGCATGCAGGTGTTGGGCCGGAACCCTGTGCGCGTGACCTGCTTCCTCTCGGCCGTTCCCCCCCCCCTTTGCCCGCCTGCCAACTCGCTAGTCAGTGCCCCTTTCTAGCTTCTCGCTGGAGCGGAGTTCGCCGCCTCGCCGCTGACGAAACAAGTGTGCGCGACCTGCGTCGCGCGGAGCGGGGCGCCGTTGTGGCCGCGAGGCGCTCCACGATGGTCCAGCAGGGCGCGCAACAGCTCGGCCGCTCCCTGGCTTTGGTGGGCAGCTTGCCGGCCAGGTCGTCGGTGCGACCGCCTTCGGGCTTGGGGCCAGAGTCGCTCGACTCGCCAGCGGAATGCTGGCCAGCGCGAGGCAGACCATGGGCGGCGTGGCCGAGATCATGGGGCCTGCCCGCCCACGCGCGCTGCCAGCACTTCAGCCTGTGGACTGTGCCGCCCCCGATATGGCCGAGAGGATGGCGGCCACGGGGGCGGAGCTGGTCAGGCTCCGCGCGGAGAGCGCGCAGTACCGCGAATCATTTGAGATGCGCCAGTCCGGAGGCGGCGGCTACGCGACCCCAGGCGCGGGCAGCGCCGCGGGTCGGCCCGCCACATCGACCCCGCAGCCGACGAGCAGGGCTGCAGATGGTGACATCGGCATGGGAAGCACCGATGGCGCAGCAACCCAGCTTGCCGCGACCCTCGGCGATCCACCCGCGGCCGAAGTGCCGACCGACGGCGTGGAGCTCTCCGCGGAGGCCGTGAACGCTTCCGCGGTGCAGCAGAGTTCAATCCCAGGAGCAGGACCGGCGAGCGGACAGCAGGCGGGCGTGATGAATGTCATGGGCTTGCATGGGGCCACGGCCCAGCCCGCGCCGAACGCCGCCGTCGGCGTTGGTGTTCTTCCTGCTGGCGGCGTGGGCCTTGCATCTGAGGCCGTCCTCCCACCTGGACTTGGCGCTGCGTCCTGGTCGCGCTCTTCGGCGAGTGCGCCTGGAGGTGGAATGTCAGGAGGCGGAGGAGGAGGAGGAGGAGGAGGAGGAGGAGGAGGAGGAGGAGGAGGAGGAGGAGGAAGAGGAGGAGGAGGAGGAGGAGGAGGAGGAGGAGGGAGGAGGAGGAGGAGGAGGAGGAGGAGGCGGAGGAGGAGGAGAGGAGGAGAAGGAGGAGGAGGAGGAGGAGGAGGAGGAGGAGGAGGATGAGGAGGAGGAGTCAGCGGCCCCAGGAGCCGCAGCAGCCCCGGGCCAGCCTTGGAGCCGCAGCAGCGGCGGTCGCACAACCGCAGTTCGGCGGACTCGGGCTGCGCGGAACTGGTGGGCCTTCGCCGCCGCCTCCGCCGCCACCGTTCGGCGCCGCCACGGCTGCCGCTGACTTCGCTGGCGGTGCGAGCCTTGCCGACGCAGCAGGTTTGGCTGCTATCCTGAGCCGTCTGAAGGGTGACGAGGTGCCCAAGTTATCTCGGACAGGGGGGAGCAAGGCGTCGAAGAATGAGGAGTGGCTGCAGACGATCACCCCCTATTAAACCTATTACGCGTCGGTGCACCCGCAGGACGAAGCCTGGTTGGTGGTGCAACCTACGACGAGTACCTGCGCGTGGGTCCGCTGCAGTGGCCGTGCATCTGTCCGCAGACGTCGTGGGCAAAGGTGGGAGCACAGAAGCAGGTGGAATATCAAGGCCGGCCCTACCTGCTCCAGGCGATGCCCGAGTCCATCAAGACCCAGGCGCTCGCCTCCAGGCAGTCGAGCTGCAGCGAGCTCGTCTTCGCCGTGTGCGTCGAGGCGGGCCCTGGCACCCTACGAGATAGAGCTGCCGCGTTAAAGGCAGCGGAGTGGCGTGGAAGCCCGGCTGCCCCGGCCCGATGGGAGGTGTACGTCATGCTGCAGCGGTAGAAGTTTGACCTCGCCAGGCTGCAACACCTTGGGGCTGTTGCCTCAGACCCCACGGTCCAGCTCACCACGCTGCGCACGCTGGTGCGCAAGATGGTTGAGGCTGACGAGGACTTCCAGTTCCGTATGAGCAATTGGCAGCTCGTGCGGGGCCTCAGTGGCGCTGCGAGCTGCGGCCGGTCCCAGATCGCTGGAGGAGTCTCCCCCCTCGGGCGCACTGTTGCAAAACAGTCGCATCAAGCAGAGGTCCGGAGCCAGAGCCCCCTCCCTTTCCGCCCACTCTTGAAACGCCGAAGAAGAAAACGTTGACTACGTGTGCGCCCCCCCCCCGCCAGGGGCGACGCGCGCGCGCTCGGGAAGCTCATGTCGACCGCTCGGTGGCGGGCGCTTCCTTGCCACGCCGCCCGAGCAACGAGATGTGCAGTCGTGGGTTTGTGCGGTGTTGGTCGGTGCAGACGTGCGCCTCCAGTGCGAGCGCACAGTACTGGTGTGCACTTCTGCGTCTCACCACCCGGGCTTCTCGAACAACTCGGGGCAGCGATCAGACATGTCAGGAGGGGAAGAAACACACACAGACACACTGAGTCGTCGGCACCAAGTAAACATATAGGAAGACATGGGGGAAGTGGGGGGGGGAGGAAACGAAAACCCTGAAGATACGAGAAAAAATAGGGGGCATCCTGGGATTTGTGTCTACTTACTCGCGTGTGTCCCAGAAGGTATGAGAAAATATGGGGAACTACTTACTGTGATATGAGAAAATCCTGGGAGTTGTGTCTACTTACTCGTGTGTGTCCCAGAAGGTATGAGAAAATATGGGGAACTACTTACTGTGATATGAGAAAATCCTGGGATTTGTGCCTACTTACTCGTGTGTGTCCCAGGGCCCCATTGACCTTGGCAGCCTGCGCGCGGGCCGAGGACGCCATGCTCATGGACTTCCTGCCGTCCCTGGCCAGGGTAGCGGGCGGCCAGGCGCGCTCCTCCGCCCTCGGAACCCTTCGGCTCCCTCCCCTCCCTCCCTCATCCCTGCTCCTTTCCTGCCCCCTCCTCCTCCCTCTCTCCCCTCCCTCTCCCTCCTCTCCTCCCCTCCCTCCTCCCTCCTCCTCCCTCCTCCCTCCTCCTCTTCTCCCCTCCCCTCCCTCCCTCCTCCTCCCCTCCCTCCTCCCCTGCACCTCCCCTGCTCCCTTCCCCGCGCGCCTCTCCTTCCCTCTCCCGCCCCTCTCCCGCTGCCCTCTCCCCTCCCCCCCGTCGAGGAAGGGACAGTCTCGGGGCCGCCCGCGATCCGATTCGGTGCGACTCGATTCGCCGGCGGGGGCTGCGACTCCAGCTCGATGCGATCCTGCTCTCTTCGCGGGCATCGGCCAGGGCCAGCCAGAAGCGGGACGCGACGGTTCGATGCCGATCCGATTCGGGACGACTCGCTGGCGATTCGATCCGCTCTCGATCCGATCCGATTTCGCGATCCGATCCAGCGCAGACCTGGCAGTGACATAACCATAACCGCTCGGAGCTCCGAATGTTTCTGTTTCGGCCGTTTCCTATTCTTCTGCTGTCGCCTCTCCCTCCACTGTCCCTTGCGCTTCCCCTCGACATTACACAATATGAATGCTACCCTCTTTTCTCCCCTGGTGACGTCGGGGAAATATCCGGCCCTCCTCCGCACAGAAAAAGAGCAACCTTTTTCTACACGCAGGATTTCCGTGCTGGCTTCATTTTTGGGCCACCGCTCGTTCCGAATCGTGCTCCCGCTGCAGCGCTGGCCTCATTTCCGCGTTTCTGATCGTTCCGAATCGTGCTCCCGCTGCAGCGCTGGTGTTATTATTTCCAGCGCCATGCTATGGCATGGTTTCCGGTCCCTCCAGATAGGCCCCACAATCTAGAAAATTGCCCCCCAAAAAGACCATCGGAATCAATTACACATTCGGTGTCGATTCGCTGATTTTTTGGGCCGCAGAAGCCCCCCCTACTTTGGGGCGTCGCCACGCCATGCTATGTCAGGCTACGCGTCCTCCGAATGGTGCCGCTGCAGTGCTGTCATCATTTCCTTCGCCATGCCACGGTATGGTTTTCGGTCCTTCCAAATAGGCCCCAAAATCTGAAAAATGGCCCCCCGAAATAACCATCGGAAGGGATTCCACATTCGGTGTCGATTCGTTGATTGTTTGGGCCGCGGAACCCTCGTCGGGCCCCGGGGACCTAAAAAAACAATCCAGCTGGAAAATGCCGATCCGACTGGACTCCGTGAGGGGTCCAGGGGCCCAGTGCGAGTCGATTGTTCAAGGAAGTCAGACCATCGAGCCTGGCAGCCCGCCGTACTAGTTCCTGACATCCGTCCTCGCCCGCCGCAGCTTCCCCCGCCGCCGCCGCCGTCGTCGTCTGCGTCGTTGTCGCCGTCGGCAATTTCTGCGCGTTCCCTGGAGCTTCCGGAAGTCTTCGGGCCATCCGCCACACCTCGTGCAGAGCTGTCTAGGGAACCCAGGGAGACTTGGAAGGGGGCTCGGGGAACGCAAGGCAGCGTGTCGAAAGGAGGGGGGGGCCTTACACTATTACAGTACCCCTACCAGACGGCACTTGGCATTCGAAAGCGCCCACATCGGGCAGGCACGATTGCGCAGGACATGGAGCCGGGATTCCGGACAGGCCTTCTCTTTTCGTACACGGGCCATTTACCCTCCAAGGCATCTGGTGCCATGCCATGGTATGTAATGTGATGTTGCGTTATGTCCCCCCGTGCGATGCTGTGCTTTGCCATGCTACGCTTTGTGATGCAATTCTACAATACGCAATGTCCCGCCGTGCTATGACATGCTCTGCTCTTCCGCGCTCTTCTACACCATGCTATGCGGTGCTTTACCATGCATCACAATCCCTCTCGGGATCATTGCATTGCTCGACATCAGCCTGCGCGCATAAGGAGGAGATCTGCGCCATGGTAAGGGTTGGGAGGGAGGGGTATGACGACAGATATGACGCGATCGTACCTAGCTTGCCCCTCCTCCCTTCCCCTCCATCCCCGTTTTCCCTTCCCCCCCTCTGTGCGATTATTCACTGCTGTTCGCCACTCCCCCGACGCCGTGCCAACTTTCATCCGCCCCTCCCGCGTACTGTCTTCCCATACGCAACATCTCGCATAGGTTCCAGCCCTCCTGTGCTGGGTACTTGTTTACACATCTGAGGGGGGACTGGGTCCAGGGGCCCCGGGCAAGACCATAACTGTGCGGACTGGGCTGCTTGGGGCCCTGCTGGCGCGCCAGCGGCCCTCCAAGATCGCCCGAAGACGGCTTTGGATCGCTCGAAAACGCGCTCCGAGACTGGCAAGACGGCCCATGACGGCCCTGGGTTGCCCAGAATTGGCCCCAGATTGTCCAAGAGGCTTTCAAGACGCCCCAAGAGGCCTCCACGAGGCCTCTCAAACTCGTTCATTGAATCGAACGTTTTGACGGATTTTGGTTTCTCGCCTTTTCGGTTTCCCAACGCTCCAAGGCGGCCCGAGACGCCTCCAATGACGCCCCAATGCTGCCCAAAAGGCTCCCGCGAGAGCCCAAAGACGCCCCGAGAGACCTCCAGGACGGCCCCGAGAGGGCTTCAAGACTGCCCGAGAGGCTTCAAGACGGCCCCAGAGGCCCCCAAGACGACTCCAGAGAGGGTCCAGGCGGGGGCCTCGAACGGACATTTCGAGCCCTGGGTCCAAGAAGCCGGCCCGAAGAGGCCTCCAAGAGGCCCCCACGAGGTCTGCAAGAGGCCCCCACGAAGCGTCCACGAGGCCACCAAATGATCAAATTTCGCTTATTTTTCGAAAGGTCTTTACGGCGTTCCGACGCTGCAAGACGGCCCAAGAGGCCTCCAAGATCGACCGAACATTGTCCAAGAGGCCCCCAAGAGCGCCCCAACTCATTTCAAGAGTCCCCCAAGAGGGCCCCAGAGGCCTCCAAGGCGGCCCCAGAGGCCCCCAAGACTGCGGTCCCATGACCTCCAGGACGCCCCAATTGACCTCGACGAGCGCTCCCCAGACCACCCCAAGAGCTATCGTCCATACGTTTTTTCAGGATCCCCGAGAAGGTCCGAGAGAACTCCAAGACGCCCCAAGAAGCCTTCACGCACACGCACACACACACACAACGCACAACGCACAACGCACAACTCACAACGCACAACACAACACGCAACACACAACACACAACACAACACACAACACAGCACAACACACAACTCACAATACACAACACACAACACGCAACACACAACACGCAACCCAACACAACGCACAACACACAACACACAACACACAATACACAGCACACAACACATAACGCTCAACACAGCACACAACACACAACACGAAGCACACAGCACACAGCACACAACACACAACATACAACACACAACTCACACCACACAACACACAACACACAACACACAAACACCCACGCGCAACACACAACACACGACCTAGACCACAGCACAACTCCACACAACCCACAACACACAACCCACAACACATAGCACACAACACAACACACGACACACACACACCACACAGCACACAACACACAACACACAGCACACAACACAACACACAGCATACCATACACAACACACTGCACACACCATGCGCCTATATATATATATACACACGCACGCACGTACACACAACACACACACACACATCACACAAAACACACATCACACACACACTTAGAAACACACACTTACACACACACTCACTCCCACGCACTTACACACTTACACGCCCTTACACACGCTTACACACACACTTTCACACAAACTTACACACACGTACACACACTGACACGCACACACTTACACAAATTTGCACACATTTACACTTGCACACACGCACACTACACTCACACTTACACGAACTTGCACACACTTACAGACACTTACACACGCCTACACATATTCACATTTACACACATCTACACATGCTTACACACACTTCGACACATTCACGCACAGTTACACGCGCTTACGCACACCTACACTCACTTACACACGCTCACACACTTACACACGCCTACGCACTCTTACGCATATTCCCAGACACTTTCGCGTACCATTGCACACACTAAAATACACATACACACACTTGCACGCACTTGCGCACACTGACACACACTCACACACACTTACACACACTTACATACTCTTACAC